TTGTCGCGTTTTATAAAAATATTATAATTTACCATAATTTTCTATCACATCAGGTTCCATTTGCATAGCGGAATAATCATAGAATGTTACATTCCATTTTCTGTCTTTATGTTTGCTATCAACCATGATAATATTATATTCTGTGCGACCGACAAAAATAGTATTTTGCATTTCCAAAGGACATGTATCTTTCACTTTATGAAAACTTAAAAGCTGTTCTTTTTCACCAGTCATTGGATCAATACTAAACCATGTGTCAATTTTTCTGCCAGTATATAATATACCATCACTGCTTCTGCATGGACTACTGGCGACTAGTTGAGGAATGGTAAATGGCAGTTTTTTCAATGCTTCTGATTCTCTGCCAAAGAGATAAAGTGAACCATCTCTGGGATCCGGTAGAAATATAGGCCTGGAAATCATAAACATTTTAATAAAAATTGTTTCACTTTACTTTATTATTTAACAAATGCCAACATTTAACAAACAAAACATTATTAATAATCAAAATTTTATATATTTCTTATTAATAATCATTTATTACAAATACATCGTTGTGCAATGAAATAACTTAATGCATACATTTTACTTGCCGACAAATCGATAGACACTTTGACCACAGGTTCTAAAACCAATACATATGATAAACAAAACAATAAAGTTCGATTTCCTAATGTAATCTAGCATATAACTAATTGTTACCATCATCTTGTTGCCATCGTATTTTTCCAGACCTCTGATCAACACCCACGAGCAATCCACCAAGCGTAGAAAATAAAAGGAGAGCATCATCTTGTTCTGCTACCAATTCAGTGTTAAAATTCTAATAATATAAAATTTAAGAAAATATATTGAGAAGGATTACGAGCCAAAAAAAATGAATATATTTAATATACATTAATAAAAGGTAATAAATATAATAGTAAAATGCTAATAATATAAATATTATTTAAGTTAGTTCAATTTTAATTGTAAGAACAACAGTGTGATACACAGCTTTCATAATTTAGAAAGCACAATAAAATATATGTAATATATGTAATATGTTTCTGGATTTAAAGTAAAAGTTTAACTCTAAAAAGAATATTATATTTGTTCTTTTCTTTTTTTGTTTCCCTTATTTGTTTATCACAAAGAAATCCTTTTCTTGTGTCTAAAGGAATTTTAACAAAAGAAATTATATTATGTATATCTACCACTTGCTGTCCTGTGACAGATGCAAGCATCAAAATAACAAGCCATAACATCCACTTTTGCATCGTAAAGAATCTTCAGCTGTAGCATTGACCATATGTTATACAAACACGGATAATTCCTCCCGACATAAGTTTTGTTCCATACAACAATACACGTAGTTACATTACAACGCATTAGTTTATGTAGCTTTGGAGCAAGATGGTTCGTAATTATTACAGATTGTTGTCGTTAACATGATTGCCCACAAATCTCTTCCAAAATATAACAAAGATCACATTCTTAAATCCGCAAATCTGTACATTTGCATCTCTCTTTATTCTTAGTGCAAAACTGTGCAAAACAGTAAAGTACAATGTTTTGCTCCGCGGACAAGATCGTTTTGTAAAAAAACTACGTGATCATCAAGATTGTTTGCTTGCGTGTTGTCGCGATGATAACACGTATGTGGCCGAAACAATAATATAATCATTGTAACAAATATATTTTATTCATCGCATCACGAGTCTCTTTTGCAGTCTCCAAGAGATTCAATTGACAAAATTTCGGTGTATGTGTAATGACACGCACATTTCATAAAATTAATCATATGGACACGTGTCTCATATATATATATATACATATATAT